GCCGGGATGGCCGCTCTCAGGTTTCTCTCTGGCATCGCTATTCACGATACGAGCTGTTAGATAGATAGTTTCACGTGTATGTAAACAATGCAAAAGACAGAGTGATATTTGAAAGATATTTAAAGAGTGACCAAAATACGTTTGAAAAATTGGAACGTGAAATTTTTTTTTAAATTATTGCAGGTAATTTTGCTTACTAGCAAATAAGTTTTCTCTGAATCTCGAAAGTGAGCCACGTTTGAAACGATGAAAAGCTGTATTCAAGGAGCGCGCCATTAGCCGCTATGCATCCATCCTTGTTTTACGTGAAATGAATGATAAAGATGGCAACACAATAGTAGTGTCGCCTGATTTCTCAAACGCAGTTATTGGCTGCGAGCTGCGAGTGGAGATCGGTGGGGATGTCGAACTGGTAGGAAGTAGGGACTGTAGCTGTAGGGAGATAAATAAATAGAGGAGTTTAGCCGGCTGCCGGCAAAAAATCTTCCAGATCTGTCCGGTTCTACGACGCCGTTAGGAATTGCGCAATAAAAAACGCTTTTTCATCTTCGCCGAATCTACCAAATTGTAAGTGGAACTCGCTATTCTTATTTCATCAGATTTATACTCAGCTAGTTAGCTCGAGACTTAAGAGACTGATATTGCACAATATTACATCGAATATCTCGAGCAAAAGTGATACGCGGTTACCGCCCGGCTAATTAACAGTTTGCAGACTAATGGCTTATAGTAGTAGATGAATTAGTTTCATCATCATGATAAAGCAATAATAACGTCAAGGTCTGTTCGAGGAATTCAGAATAGTTACAGCATGTGGAAATTGTCGCGTCACAGAGAAAATATAAGTACGAACAGAGAATGAACTAGAAGAGGAAACGCCTCAACAATGGCGTCTTTCGCCGATATTAGAGTTAGAGCTTTATTTCACAAAGCATATTTTATAAATCATGATTAATAAGAATTATCATTTACAAAATCTGAGAACTGTAATACATTAATTGAATGTGCATATATTTTCTTACATCCTCGCGCAAAATATTTTTTAATAAAACCTCATATTTTTATCTCTGTAGATTTCATATTCAGGTTCATTATCAATCTATAAATACAGTATCATATTGCACAAGAATGTTTAAGATACAGTATATGATATTCATTTTTTGCAATTCATGTATAGAACATATTGTGTAGTGATGTTCCAGGTAGAAGGGTAGAATGGGTAGAATACAAGTTAATAATACCATAAGGACGTCATCATGACCTATTTGTCACTTACAAGTTTGCTTAAGTGATAAATGAAGTCATGATGACGTTCTACGGTATCATTATGTGTTCTACCTGGGATATCAATATGTTTTGAACAGAGATTACAAAAAAAAGAAGGATATACCTAAAAAATTTTTGTGCAATATAATTAATCATGTGTTTATAGTTTGATAAGAATGATAAGAAAATAAGACTTATAATGATTACATAATGTAACTGGACTGATGCTTTTTTGGATTCAAAATTTACTGTATATAATAATTTTATTTTTAATAAATAGTATTGAGGGATTAATACTTTTTATAAAAAAATCTATTCTAATGATAGTATCAATTCAGATTTTAAATTGAAATTTTAACTTAATTTAAAATTTTAACTTGATGGTTGAACACTTGAAATTTCAACTAAATGGTTGAATACAATATTGATTAAAAATTTCTTTTGAAATCTAGCTTTTGAATATCTGGTTTAATGATGATATTAATTAAAAATTGGTTCTAACTCTTTGACTGCATTTATATTTTTATTCCTTCTGTTTTACTCATCTGGATTTTTTGCCCAGTTTAAGTTTTTTTCTATTGTTTTAGACTTTCAAAACATTTAGGCTAATTCTCCAATGTGTTTGTCTCTTGCCTTTTTGATCAAGAAGACAAATAGCAAGAACCGGGAAACAAAAAGCACATTGCAAAATTAGCCTTAGAATTATTTTCCAATATCTTGATTACATTATCAAATAATTTTTTCAACTCAAATGTAAAAATTTTTATTTAATGAGAAATGAAATTTGAGTAAAAATTACAGTGAAATTTGAAAGAAATTTTGCTTATGTTAAAAAAGACCTAAATTGCAGACGTAGGATTAAAATCCAGTATATAAATTTTGATTTATATACATTAGATTAAATCTAAAATTAAATGTCGATAAAAAATAAATTTTAAATTGGAATTAGTCTAAGCAAACAAATGTCTTTAATGAGACTGAAAAATATTAAGGTGTATTATCCGCATTGAAATATCTGTATGTTCTTAGAATTATGATGAAGAGAAAAATAACAAGAGTATTTTTTTTAGCAACATGCCTTCCTACAAGCTGATTTACTTCCCCATCACGGCATTGGCCGAGCCAATTCGCTTCCTGTTCAGCTATGCTGGCATCGAGTTTGAGGATGAACGTTTTGATAGGAATGATTGGGCAAAACTTAAGCCGAGTATGTATATCTGATAAATCCTAATAATATATGCTGCTATTCACCTGTTGCGAATTTAATCCAGTTCAATCCTTGAAATCCGATTTATGAACAGATAACAGATCTGCGATAAAAATATGGTTATTATCAGCGCCGATTAATTTTCCTTGTAACATACTTCTTCATTTTCTTTAAATATAAAATATTTTGATGCCAGTTTGATTCTTAATGTACCTTTAGTTTTTTTGTATGTAACAGAACCGGAAATTATTTTTTTTTTACAATAGAGCCTTTTATTTCTTATTACGTACTGCAATAGGAAAACCGATATTGTTATGTAAATACAGGGTCTTTGTATGTTCAGTTAATGAAAAACATTGTGGCTTTCATTGTATGGTTTCGACATAAATAGTATATGTAAGGAAATCGTTTCTGTGTCGTTTAAATTAGCCAATCAATCGATACATGCTATAGGATTTGAAACACAAATCTTTCAGCATCATGGAGCCATATAAAAGGTAGCAGAGTGGTCTATAAATTGTACAAAAGAAAAAGAAATCGTTATGAGAATAAAAATTAGAATTTGTATTGTTAAATTCGGATTTGAAAATGTAATTGTGTATATTTAACTTCAATTGTGTACAATTATTAACCATCACAGCTCTTAAAAGACATTTACTGTAGATATAAATTTGTCACAATAATCTAGTTGGCTAGAAGTTTATGATCTCTATTATAAACTTTGTTAAATTGTAATAGCACGTTGCATTTATATCATCTTTTAGCTATGCCATTCGGTAAAGTACCCGTACTCGAAGTAGATGGAAAGAAAATCGATCAATCCACAGCTATCTCCCGTTATTTGGCTAAGCAATGTGGTCTTGCTGGCAAGAACGATTGGGAGTCTTTGGAAATAGACTCGACCGTCGACACTATCCATGATGTACGCGCTAGTGAGTATAATATTCTGTTTACTTACCTGACTCTTTTGTTTATCATAAGCCGAAATTTATTTTAAAATAGATTTGAATCACGATATTGATGTGTTTATATATATATCTCAATAGTACAAACAGATCTATTTGCAAACTATGGTAATATAAGAAAGAACTTTTTTTTACATTTGCGTTAAACTTACTTAAATATTTGATTCGATTTATTTGTTATTTTATCTTATGTCTTTTTTTTCTTGTTTGTATTAGGTATCGCTAGTTTCCACTATGAGAGCAATGAAACAGCTAAAAATGAGAAACTTAAAGCTAGCAAGGAGACGACTGTGCCATATTATTTGGAGCGTTTAGACGCACAGGTGAAGAAGAATGGCGGTTACTTTGTCGGTGGTTCTTTGACGTGGGCCGATTTAGTTTTTGTCGGTCTTTTGGATTATTTGAATTTCATGATGAAGGAGGACATCGTTGAGAAGTATGAGAATTTGAAACAACTCCAAAAAACAGTCGAGGAAGTACCGGCTATCAAAAACTGGATCGAGAAGCGTCCGCCAGCGGTCTTTTCACCGAATTAATTCGGTTGATTTCATAAAATGATTTTCTGACAGAGTTTATTGTCATTGATGATTGATAAAATATCGATTTTTCTTTTTTTCTTTTTTTTTCAAACGTGTTTATATCTATATACGAGAAGCATATGTATGATTGATTTATGAACTACGAGATACACTGAAAATATATATAGATATATATTTTAACACTTGTTAAAGGCTGATATTACTCATTGTTATATGTCATATAATAGTAAAACTATAAGATAATTTCTAATCAAATCTTGAAGAATGAACTATTTTTTTCATTATATAATTTTGTATTTCAATAAATCTGTACTTTTACTATTGTTGATTTCTTTCATATTTGCGAAACTTACCTTTTCAATCATTTAATTTGTTATTTATAATGCACTTTTATTTCTAATTTCAAATAATGTCAAAAAATCTATGATATATATCTAGGATGATATATTAAATTTAAGGATTATTAAAGCGTATTTGAAAAATTGAACTGTCTTCGATGCTTTTACAATTTTTTTGGATTATACAGAGCAATTTCTACTCTTAGAAAGTTTTCTCCTGGAAATGAATCTTGTCTCAATGAAAAGTGGAGGTGTGTTGAACTGGTAGAGAGAATGGAAGAAGTAGCCGGGCAGCCGTTTTTATTATTAGTAGACCATCACTATTGATAAGGTGAAACAATGTGGATTTACTGACAAAAACAATTGGAAATTATCATTAAAAATCGGTTGTCGATACCACATAAGTATTGAATACTTAACTGTCAGAACCATACGAGATTCATGACGAAGTTAGTAAATACTATTATATGTATTTAATTTTTATCCGAACTCATTAGAAACAGAAATTCCTTTGAAAGCAGATTCAAATCATGATTGTGATGTACTGAAAGCTTGATAATATGGACGGATTTATATTCATAAACGATAGTAAAAATTTCATTGACTAAAACAGACTGTCGTCACTTTATTTATCTTTCTTTTGTTGCTTGTATTAGATGTTATTACTTTTTTTTTTTAATTTACGTGCTACAAACATGCTAAAAAAACAGAAATTAAAGTTAGCGATGAAACGGTGCCGTTTTACTTGGAGCGTCTGGACGTTCAGGTAAAAATAAATGATTTTGTTATTTTGTTGCTCTGTCATGAACTGATCTCACTTTTGTCAGTCTCTTGGATTATATGAACTTTCTAATGAAAGCGAATATCATTAAGAAATACGAGAACTCTTGCAGCAACTCGTAAAGAAAAAGGAAATTCTGATCAAAAGTTGAATCGAGTGCCTGACAACTGCATATGAAATCACATGTGTAATTATATGTAAGGATTCTGGAGAGTGATTCATTTTTTAACAGAGTTGATTGTTCATTGATGTTTGATTTGAATAAAATATTTATTTTGATGATTTCTTTCGCGTTTACGAAATCTTATATCTTTCCATTTGTTCAATTTGTTTCAATCTGTCTACATTCTTGTATTCACTTATTCCTGTATCATTATTTTTTCTTATTTTATAAAATTATTTTTGTATTTAAATTGCTATAAATATAATTTAGTAACAGTTAGGCATCCAGTAAAATATTCACATCGAAGAAAATCGGCAGCAATGTTGAAAGTAATCAAGTATTTAACAGCTAAAAGGTCGTACATTTAATTCATAAATAGATATCTGTCTCTAAAGCGCTGTTGATAAAAGGGGCGTGTATGGCAAATAAAATATATGCCAAATAATTAATTTAACGATTGCGAAACGTTGATAACGCACTATCTGCTTTTATGAACAGATAGAGCACTGGAAGTGCCTTTTTAGTCACGTCGTGATGCGGCTTTCGCGGTTGCTAGGTGCTATATATTATCTCGGCGTATAACTGTAATGCAACCGAAGGTCGCACAACATAGTTACAATTCAGGAGGGTCTATGACTATTCACCGACAATGAGTAACTAGAAACGTGAGAAGGCTATGTATATGTGTTCATATTATGCTGCAATGTGACAATTACATTGGATACGTCTAACCTTTCTACAAAGAAAAACATGATAAAATATTAACATAAATCAACAGAATTTTTTCTTAAGAATATTCTTGCAATGTTGAATGTTTGAAAAAAATTCTAATTAATTTATATTTTTTTAAGTTTTATATATCGCCTTTGTAAGCATATTTTTCAAAAAATTTATTACGCCTACACTTTATAAATACAGAAAGACTAATATATTTTCATTTATATACATATATATATATTCCTCAATTACAAATTCAATTATACGGAAAATAACGATCGACCGATATTAAAAGATATATTAACAAACTCGCAAATTCGAATTCAAGAAAAGAGCTAATGAATTCTTTGCATATATTATCTGTCACTTATTTTTCTTGTAATATTAAATATACATAATTATGTGTGCTTTTAATTTATAATTTATATTTATAATAATAAATATGTACTCTTTTTAAATAAATAAGTTTTCTAAAACATATATTCAGAAACATATGCAACTGATAATAAAATGATTATACGATATTTATACATCAGTAATAACATTTTACGTAATTGTGCAATACACACTTCTTAATTGATATTTTTTTCAAATATTAAAATTTTCTTTATTAATACTCTGTTAATACTTTAATATATTCAATGTTTACTTGATCAACTTTTATTCATCATATTTTCTTCCAGTTTTTTATGCGCGTGAAACAGCAAGTCATAACAAGTTATTAATAACGAGGAATCACGAAACATTTTATCTTTTATGTAATGATTGCACATGATATAGATAGTGTCAGTACCGCGCCTCATTGAGATAAATTCTGATAAATCTTATAATAACTATATAATCGTCGCGAATACAAGTATTTGTGAAATATGCGAATTGCAATGTATTGCACAATAACACGTAAAATGTTATGACTGATGTATAAATATCGTATAATCATTTTATTATCAGTTGCATATGTCTCTGAATATATGTTTTAGAAAACTTATTTATTTAAAAAGCGTACATACCACGATCATTATATATTATAATATTTATTATCATTATAATCACAATCTCAACTTCTGTTAACTTTAAATCTCTAATGTTTTCCCAAACAGCAGACAATATTTTTAAAACGTTTTTAAAATATTTATTTAATGTAAAAATATTTAAGAAATATTTTTTAAATATTGTGTGCTGATTCAGTTATTTGATATTCTAAATATTTTTTACTGAGATGTCTCTGGAATTGCATTTAAAAATTTCTCAGATATAAAACGTCTTTAAAATAAAATATGCGGTGGGGAGTAAATTACTAAAGTTCTAACGAAATGCTCACTGTCAGTTGTTCTCGGTTCGCGAGTAGTTCTGCATCGATTGCTAGAGTCTTAATTTTACGAGAGATTGGATTACAGACTGCAAGGTCGAAAACTATAAAGTGTGTTGGTATCAGCGCCGTTCAGACACTTATCAATACTTTACTTTTCCCAAAATTTTACAACTTTGTTCGTCGATGATCTTGTGTTTTGGTTCCGCAGTATTTTGGTATAAATTGGACACGTCTGATTGAAATTAATACTTTTAAAAATTATTTATTTTGAAATAAAAGTGTAAAATATGGTTGCCATAAGGATATTAAATGAATTATGTAATTAAATACCAAAGATTAAATTTTAATCATATAGAAGAAATTTTGATTATACTTCTAATTAATTTTTATAGTTAACAGTCAACAATTATTTGAAGAAGATCTAACTCAGTTAAATATTGATTGAAATGTATAATGTTGATACTTTTACTATGAATGTTTTAAATAACACGTTATATATTACGTGTCACGCGAATGTTTACGTTATATTCATGTTTAGACTTTTATAAAAAAAACTAAATATTATTTTACGTATCTTATTTTACGCGTATTCATATTTTACAATTTTGCATTTTTACAATTTTCAGAATATGCCGACGTACAAGCTGATATATTTCGACGTTACAGGCCTTGGGGAGGCAATTAGGTTTATGTTAAATTATTGCGGCATCAAATTCGAGGATGTTAGATTTAGCTTCGATGAATGGTCGAAGTATAAACCAAGTATGTTACCTTATATAATATTATTTTAAGATTATAAAACGGTCATAATTTCGATTGCTCTTCCATTTAAATACCCCAATTCGTGTTGTAAAATTTTGTAAAATAAAACTGCATTATAAAACTTTGCAAAATACATTCCGCGCATTTACCGTCAAGTTTTATTGTTTTACGATCATTAGTCACGCTTGTATCATAAACGCGCACAAGGAACAAATTATTCTGCAATAAAATAAAAATAAAGAAGCAACTCTCTCTTCTCTTATTCAAACAATAAATAATAAAGACAAAATAATCAATATATGTGAATTTTATATGTGAATTCAACAAATCGATGTCGATAAATTATTAAAATATTTTTGCGCGCTATTTTTTGCATCGACTCCTAATGCCCCTTTAACCTTCTTTATTATTCTGTAATAATGTCTAATGACATTTTATAAATATAACAGACATGCCCATGGGACAAGTGCCGGTTCTGGAGATCGATGGTAAGCAATATCATCAGTCCAGGGCCATCGGACGATTCCTCGCCAAGAAGGCCAATTTATATGGGTCTAACGATTTTGAGGCCATGGAGATTGATGCAACAGTTGATTCTATCGAGGACATAAGACAAGGTAAAAATGTCGGTAACCAAACGCGAGAGAATGACAGACTGTCTGTAATTACATAATCATCAAAACAACATGTGACTTTTCGAATCGTCCATATTGACGGAATTAGTCAATTTAATGCATACTTTCCGGTAAAAAATTTTTCTTGCATGAATATGTATAAATATGTATATACATACATAAACGCGCATAAATATTCATAAACATGTATAATTATATATGAAATATGTTCATACATGTTTATGAATATTTATGCGTGTTTATGTATGTTTATACATATTTATACATATTCATGCATGAAACATTTTTACCGGGATTGCACATACATATACCGACTAAGACATATTTAACGTTATTGTTGCAAAGTACTTTGTCTAAAGCAGTTATTTAAAGTTAATAAGCTATATATATAGTTTCTGAATGACTGTCTCGCGTTATATAATAATTATTGCTCTTCTCGTGATCGGCGATTCACAATATGGGAACTGTATGTCTCTGTGTAATGCAAAAAAAGTAAGGCAAATCTATTTTTGTAGCAATGACTCTTCATTATTGGGAACAAGATCCCGCCTTCAAAGCGAAACTCAAAGATACGCTTTTCCAAAAATTGCCTATGTATCTTGACGTATTCGAAGCTCAAGTTAAGAAGAACGGTGGATATCTTGTCGGTGGCAAGGTATAATTATAATATTGATATTAATTTACGTATGCAGCTATCTTGTTTTGTTACTTTTGTTTTTCATAAAGAAATAAAAATACATTTTTATTGTTTTAGCTGTCGTGGGCAGATTTTCTGTGGGCTGCGTATTGTGACTATATGAGCTTTATCGTAGGGGGGGATTCGTTCAAGAATTATCCCGAATTGAAAAAGCTAGTTGAGAAAGTTCGTACTTTACCCAAAGTTAAAGCTTACATCGAGAAGCGACCTAAGACTCAATTTTAAGTAAAACGATCTATAATATTATGCTCTCTCTTTGATTTGTTAAACGTTTTAACATTATTCTTCAATAACTATTTTCTATTTCGAAGCATTTTGTAGGAGAATAGCATATAACTAATGTTCCGAATAGCTTTAATCTGTAGTTTTTCTGCAATCTAACATACAACAACTAATATTATTATGTATGAAGTAAATAAAAAGGAAATATAACCTTTCCATTAAAAGTGTGTGTGTTTATCGCTAATTTTTTATTTCTAATCCCTTTTTACTTATCAGTTTGAAAACATTGTACCCAATTTTCAATGTTTCTTTGATATTTCCACTGTTTTTTTTTCCGTAAGAGTATAATTATCAATTCTGTATATCATTTTAGAAAACGCAATTTAAATGATATCGTATACCAGATATCGTATTATAGATAGTACAAATTTTATCTTGGTTTTTTTATCACTCCTTAACAAATAATTTTTTAATGTAGAAGGATGTATGTCCCAAGTACATATATAGTATCGTTTCAACGAAACGGTCAATAAAAATCCGTAATTTTTTTTTAGCTATCGTGGCTAGCCTCTCCTGTGGGTTGCATTCTGTGAATATATAAGTCTTGTCCTAATCAAAGATCCGAACGAGGATCATCCCGAATTGAAGAAACTAGTGGAGAAAGTTCGTACTTTGTCCAATGTTAAAGCTTACATGGAGAAACGACCCAAGAAACCCGTGTAAATAAAACGATTTGAGAGAAAAAAAGGATGTCATTTAAATGATATTTTAAAAAATCCTAATTCTGATTTTTTATATATCAAGAAAATGTTTACATTAAGAATTATTATATGTAAATATTACACAGATCCCTAAAATAATTTTTCTTTACACTAAACTAAACGATATACTTGTCAAAATACATCTCATTTACTTTCATCATAGAATCTAATTTAGGAGACTTGTTTCTAAAAGTTGTCCCACCCTCTATTAGAATACGAGTGAAAGATTTCATTATGCTAGGCCTTTAATTTCATTCTATCCTGTATGATTTTTTTTTACTTACAAGAAGCAAAACTCTATCGCGTCTGTCTACTGGCGGTGTCGTATAATTGTTTATTAATAGTATTTATAAGTAGACATAAAGAGCTCTTTTAAAAAACGTCTTATGCCCAATTTCTTCACCTCTAGATAATTTTATCCAAGAGATATCTCCCAGAATACAATGGAGATATCTTCTGAATAAGGTTATCCGCAACTTATCTGGAAGTGAAGAAATTGGGCATTACAGAATGATTCTTTTTACATCATTCTTAAGATATTTTAGTAATCTTTAAAAAATTATCATAAAGAATTCTTCGTCTCAACAGTGCTCAATAGGTTATCTGTTTGCAAATGATTATCAAGTTGTGTATATTATAGAAAGTAATTTCAATAATATCTGATGGCACAGTATTATCAATAGTATAAAATTATCTTGATTTTTATTATATGATTTTATGATATAATATTGACTAATGTCACTAATTTTTTAAATCGTTCGTTGTTAAATAAAAAACCAAGAATAATTAAGAAATAATCTGTATTTTAAACGAAAAAGATCGATATGCACTAAAAAGTTACGCGCAAGATATATTCTGTTAATTATTGCAATGATAAGCCTCGACATAATTTTATGCTTCACTGATAATTAGCATCTTGATTACCTGAGAAAATAAGAGACACGCATTCTTTTTTCCAGTTGGTGTTATACGCTTCGTGTGTGCATCCTGTTAGATATAACTTTGTATGTGATTGTGCATGCTGGTGTGTTTCCATAGGTCTGTTCTCTCTCTCTCTCTCTCTCTCTCTCTCTCTCTCTCTCTCTCTCTCTC